CAAGCACAAGATGCTAATATGTTGGCTAATATACATACATTACAAAATATTAAAGGCTATCGACTTGGTAGTATACGTGAAGAAGAGCTAAAAAAAAAAATACACGATGCTATCAAGTCCAAAGCTGAAATTAATAAGCTTAGTGAGAAATTGCAAGATAAATATATAAAGCAAATGAAGGCGTTTGATTGAGAAAGGAAAGGGTGAAATCGGAATTCGTTATGAAATAATACCAAGATTCAAAAGTTACACATCCACACTTTGCAGGTTATTAATAAGCATAAGCAAATACAAAATAAAAATACTAATCTTATTTCTCATAATGCACAAAAGGATATTTTTATTGCTGAATCCAAGGCTGAGAATATTACAAAATCCAAGAAAATCAAATTACTCAAGTTTATGATCAAGATATTGGAAAGTAAGTTGTCTTCAGCCCAGAAAGATATGATTTCGATTCAAAATGACTCATCGAAAAAAGAAACTGAGATCACGTCTCTCAAATCCAAGATAGCTGAATTAGAACAAGAATTAGCTTTAGCGGTTAGTGAACTCGAGTATTTAAAATCAGAGGCTATATCAAACCCTATACTTGGTAGAAACGATGAAAAAAATATGACCAAGTCTAATGATATATCTGCAGTTATTGAACCTAGTAAAAGTCTCAGACAATATTTTATACGTAGAAAAAGTATGGATCAAGCTAAAAAAATTGATACTATGTATCTTGAGTCAGAAACTCATAGCTTTACCACTGATACTAGCTCCATTATTATACCGAATAACACTAATAATGAAAAAACTCCTATACCCGAGGAATCAGTAATTCAAGGTTATACTTCATCTCCAAGAGTAGATACTGAGATTCCCAAGGTAAGTGACGAAATCGATATTAGTAAAACTAACAACAATATACTCCAAGAAATATCGAATATAACTCTATACCTTGCACAGTGGGAAAATAATAGTGGAGCTAGTGCTAAAGCACATATGTCCTTGTTGATTGAATCGAATCTCCAGATTCCAATAAGAGGAATAGGAGTGGTCTCTATTGTGGCAAGTAGTTTGATGTCAACTATATCGGCATATATTTTTCTTATCCTGTTAATTATTGCCATTATGTGGTTCGTAATATTAAGATGTACATAGGGATTTGAGAGAAAAGGTAATCGGTTATGGGATATGTGGATTGGATAACTGAGACTATCAATTTGAACTTGGGTATTATTTATGTATGAAAAAATATTATTAATAATGTTTAAGTATTGCTAATATTGGGGAATATATTTGATACTTAACAATATAGAATAGCATAGCTAATCAATTCAAGGCTTTGATATATTTCGTAAGCTATTTTTTAGCTTCTTTTTGAGAATATGCATCAATCTGCTTTTCTTTCTCATCCGAATCTTTGAGTTGCATAATTTTATGTGAAGAAGGTAGTTGGTATCTTTCATCATTATTAATAAAGCAGACACATAATCCCACAGTTTGTTTTAAATAGTGGCTAATATCTATTTTTATATTGAGTTCTTTTGCATTATCTGGAAACTTCATGTAGTCTGCAACTCTTCGCGATTGTTTTTTACCATTTTCATTATAAAGAGGATTATATTTTACTATTATATAACTAAAGTGCTCACCAGGATCTGGGATACTCAAACTTTTTTCTTTTATTCGAGCTATAAAACGTTGAATACATTGGTTTTTTACTTTTGGTTTCCATGTAGCTATCGCAATAAATTAACCAAAATCCCATTGCTTATATTTTGTTTCTCTAAGAGCATTTTTGACGATTTGATGGATCATGCGTGTATTATTGATATCTATCGCTTCTCTCATAATTTTCTCTCCAACAAATTTGAAAAGCTCTGTCTGACCTTGCTTTACAGTGTCGATACCTTTAGTGAACAACTTTTTTGGCTTGAAATTTACTATTTCCTCATGCGCAACTCCGAAGTATTTTTTTTTACTGGTAAAATATACAGGGAACAATACTTCTTCATAAGCCATTTTTAGATAGGAGGTACTATTTTTTACCTTAAGAAAGGCATTAACTTTATTGCAAAAATTATCCATTATCTTCATAGTAATTTTAACCATTTCAGTCCAGTATGCTTCCTTAGAGAGTTCTCTTCTAGCAAAAGCTTCATCACATTTTTTGTAGTACTTATCTGGACAAGTGAGATATAAAGAATCGGTATCACCATATTTTATTCCAAAACTTTTCTTATTTAATGATCATACCCTTCGTGCCTGGTCTGTTCAGCATGATAATTGCTCTGAGAAAAAAAGATTATATCCAATGGTTTTAGAGGACCTGTTTAACAAACGAGTGAAACTCAAAGCAAAGTTCGCTTTATTGCATAAAGAAAAGGAGCACCTTGAAAAACTTATAAGTACTATAGAAGAAAAGGGAAAAATAGTTTTAAACACTTTAAAATCGAAATATGCATCTTTATGTTTTGATTACAACTGTTTAAATTCCAAGCAGTTCACTCTAAAGGTATATATGAATACTTTCTATAGTGAGGCTAGAAATAGTAAATCTCCATTCTTTCTTCATGAGTTAGCTGGAGGAATCACTTCGGCAGAACAATATAACATTAATCTTGTCGCAGATTACGTAACTAAGAAAAGTTTTGGAATAAAATATGGTGATACCGATTCTTTATATCTCACTTGTCCAGATAAGTACTACAAAAAATGTGATGAAGCTTTTGCTAGAAGAGAACTCTCTAAGGAAGCATACTGGACTGAAATGGTTAAAATTACTATGAAGATAATGGATAATTTTTGCAATAAAGTTAATGCCTTTCTTAAGGTAAAAAATAGTACCTCCTATCTAAAAATGGCTTATGAAGAAGTATTGTTCCCTGTATATTTTACCAGTAAAAAAAAATACTTCGGAGTTGCGCATGAGGAAATAGTAAATTTCAAGCCAAAAAAGTTGTTCACTAAAGGTATCGACACTGTAAAGCAAGGTCAGACAGAGCTTTTCAAATTTGTTGGAGAGAAAATTATGAGAGAAGCGATAGATATCAATAATACACGCATGATCCATCAAATCGTCAAAAATGCTCTTAGAGAAACAAAATATAAGCAATGGGATTTTGGTTAATTTATTGCGATAGCTACATGGAAACCAAAAGTAAAAAACCAATGTATTCAACGTTTTATAGCTCGAATAAAAGAAAAAAGTTTGAGTATCCCAGATCCTGGTGAGCACTTTAGTTATATAATAGTAAAATATAATCCTCTTTATAATGAAAATGGTAAAAAACAATCGCGAAGAGTTGCAGACTACATGAAGTTTCCAGATAATGCAAAAGAACTCAATATAAAAATAGATATTAGCCACTATTTAAAACAAACTGTGGGATTATGTGTCTGCTTTATTAATAATGATGAAAGATACCAACTACCTTCTTCACATAAAATTATGCAACTCAAAGATTCGGATGAGAAAGAAAAGCAGATTGATGCATATTCTCAAAAAGAAGCTAAAAAATAGCTTACGAAATATATCAAAGCCTTGAATTGATTAGCTATGCTATTCTATATTGTTAAGTATCAAATATATTCCCCAATATTAGCAATACTTAAACATTATTAATAATATTTTTTCATACATAAATAATACCCAAGTTCAAATTGATAGTCTCAGTTATCCAATCCACATATCCCATAACCGATTACCTTTTCTCTCAAATCCCTATGTACATCTTAATATTACGAACCACATAATGGCAATAATTAACAGGATAAGAAAAATATATGCCGATATAGTTGACATCAAACTACTTGCCACAATAGAGACCACTCCTATTCCTCTTATTGGAATCTGGAGATTCGATTCAATCAACAAGGACATATGTGCTTTAGCACTAGCTCCACTATTATTTTCCCACTGTGCAAGGTATAGAGTTATATTCGATATTTCTTGGAGTATATTGTTGTTAGTTTTACTAATATCGATTTCGTCACTTACCTTGGGAATCTCAGTATCTACTCTTGGAGATGAAGTATAACCTTGAATTACTGATTCCTCGGGTATAGGAGTTTTTTCATTATTAGTGTTATTCGGTATAATAATGGAGCTAGTATCAGTGGTAAAGCTATGAGTTTCTGACTCAAGATACATAGTATCAATTTTTTTAGCTTGATCCATACTTTTTCTACGTATAAAATATTGTCTGAGACTTTTACTAGGTTCAATAACTGCAGATATATCATTAGACTTGGTCATATTTTTTTCATCGTTTCTACCAAGTATAGGGTTTGATATAGCCTCTGATTTTAAATACTCGAGTTCACTAACCGCTAAAGCTAATTCTTGTTCTAATTCAGCTATCTTGGATTTGAGAGACGTGATCTCAGTTTCTTTTTTCGATGAGTCATTTTGAATCGAAATCATATCTTTCTGGGCTGAAGACAACTTACTTTCCAATATCTTGATCATAAACTTGAGTAATTTGATTTTCTTGGATTTTGTAATATTCTCAGCCTTGGATTCAGCAATAAAAATATCCTTTTGTGCATTATGAGAAATAAGATTAGTATTTTTATTTTGTATTTGCTTATGCTTATTAATAACCTGCAAAGTGTGGATGTGTAACTTTTGAATCTTGGTATTATTTCATAACGAATTCCGATTTCACCCTTTCCTTTCTCAATCAAACGCCTTCATTTGCTTTATATATTTATCTTGCAATTTCTCACTAAGCTTATTAATTTCAGCTTTGGACTTGATAGCATCGTGTATTTTTTTTTTTAGCTCTTCTTCACGTATACTACCAAGTCGATAGCCTTTAATATTTTGTAATGTATGTATATTAGCCAACATATTAGCATCTTGTGCTTG